AGAAAAATCCTGTAGCATGCAACATGTTAATGGACTAGGAAGTCCTGGGACAAAACATCTGCTGATTGCGTGTGTTACCACTGGGAATTCAGGGATGAAGAAACCTGGTCTATGTCCTTCAGCAAGGCACCTGATGAGATGAGCAACGAAAGAAGATCCAGAGGCAGCTGGAGAGCAAGGTGCCTCAGCAGGGAGGCAGGCTGTCAAAGGAGGCAGGATGCACACAGCTATGGACTAGGAAGTCCTGGGACAAAACATCTGCTGATTGCGTGTGTTACCACTGGGAATTCAGGGATGAAGAAACCTGGTCTATGTCCTTCAGCAAGGCACCTGATGAGATGAGCAACGAAAGAAGATCCAGAGGCAGCTGGAGAGCAAGGTGCCTCAGCAGGGAGGCAGGCTGTCAAAGGAGGCAGGATGCACACAGCTTTCAGAGTCTGGGTGGCTTACTAGGTGAATAACAAGGGGGAAGTGGGCATTGGAGCAGAGGCACATGGGTGGGGGAAATGACTCATTGTTGCTGGAACATGACCAGTTAGACAGGAGAGGGCTCAGCACACTGGCCCCTGGAGCTGAACAGGCAGTAGCTGTTTATCAGAGAGGCCCCCTTCTCTTCTGCTAAGAGCCAGAATTTTCTTCTGCAGAATGTAAGGGAGAATTGATACCTTGGCTGCCAGATGGACCCTGAGTCAGGACTCGGATCCTGACTGTGTGACTTAGGCAGAGTACTTCTGCTCCATGGGCCTCAGTTTCCTTATCTGTTAAAAGGGTTAATGACAGTAGTTGCTTCATAAAGTTGTCCTGAGAATTAAATTTAATAAAATAATATTTGAGAATTATTTACTTCACTGCCTTGCACTTAGTGCTGTATAAATGATTACTCTTCGTATTGTGAGGCACAGGCTGTTATTTCAAGAAGTGAGAAGGGAAGCAGCAAAAGTCTGATGGAGATCAGATTGCCTGATGAACATGAACTCAGGATGAAGAACACTGGCCATTCAAAGATACTTCTGTCATCCAACTTCTATGCTTAGATTCGGGGAATTAATACCAACTGCCTTAATGGAAAAATCTTGAAACTTTGAACCTTTTAATTTAATACAAAGGGTTAATTCTCACTCACAGTTTGGGGCAGGCTAGGGTGCTATCTTCCATGGCTGCCCCAGTGGGTTTTTTTTTTTTTTTTTTTAGAAACTTAAATTTTATTTATAATTTTAATTTTATTTTATGTGTATGAGTGTATTGCTTACATGTATGTAAGTGTACCTGTGTTTTGCAGTGCCTGCAGAGGTCAGAGGGATCCCCCGGAACTGAAGTTACAGATGGTTGTTAGCCACCATGTGGGTGCTGGGAACTGAACCTGGGTCCTCTGCAAGAGCAGCCAGTGCTCTTAATGCTGAGCCATGTCTCCAGCCCCACAGTGAGTGTCTTGAGAACTTAGGCTTTTCTGTTGTGTAGCAGTCACGTGGGATACATGGCTTCCAAGATTACTGAGACGGGGGAAAGGGAGATGGCAGAGGCACTGGGGCTGCTAATGTGACACTTCACTGCCTGCACTTCTCAATGGCCTTTGGTTTCATAGCCCCAAATCCCAATGGAACCCAAAAGGAGGCTGGGAGATGAAGAAGCGTGTGTGTGTGTGGGGGGTGGTATTTGGCATGCTCTGGTAGTCTCTGGCACAAGCTGCTTCAGGCTAGATATCCCACCACCAGGCTTAGAATTCTTTTCCCTTTGGGTACACTCTCCAGAGTCCATATAAACACCCTCTCTTTGGTTTTAACAATATAACCCAGGGTATATAACCATAAACTATAGGAGGCTGCAAATTAAATTGTACAGGTGTTCTGTATAGTTTAGTTCTATTTTTGTTTTGGATGAGTGAGTTTACTAAGTATATAGTAAGTAAAAGAATAAATAGCAAGTAGTAGGTAGAGGCAGCTGATAGACAACAAACATCCTTAAATCAGGTGCTCAAAACATCCAGCAGCAATGACTAGAGAAGCCCCAATTGCGAGAGCAAGCAAAAGGTGACATCACCAAATCTGAGGCTCACAAACATCCTACAGAAATTGACTAAGGAAGCCTTGCTGAGACAGCAGCTGGAGTTCCCCGGGGATGGGGGTCGGGGTGGGGTGGGTAAGAAGCAGTTGGCTGGAGCTCCTGATTGAGGTTTTTCTTCATGGATTAACTTTATATGGCTGAACTTCTGGTTTCCTATCCCCATTGCAAGGAATTTCTGTTGGAAATGACTTACCTTCTAGGATACAATGATTTTACTTGGAGGAAGCTTTCCTCCAGGTCACAGAATTAGGGAGGTCAGCCCATCCCTGGACAAGGAGCCTTGGAGGACACTTTGAGATAAACATGCTTTTATCTGAACTAGGGATGGGGACTCTGCTTCCAGAGCCAGCTTCTCCATGAGTTCAAACTGCACATGACAAGTACCAATATAATGTACATTATAAGAGGTATTGCCAGTCTATTAGAACTTAGAAAATCTAAGTCTGCTTAATAGTGAGGTGGTGTAACCTTATTCAATGTTTCTCAAAGTCTATGTCTTGAAACTCTGGTTCCCATAAGTGTCTAGAGTGAGTATTCCATGGTTAAAGAGGGTCTGAACACACTAAGATTTATTTTGTAAATGAGAGGAACACTTTATTTCTGATATTAGGATCAATTCTCTCTTTTTGTTCTTTGGTTGTATTGAAAACTCATCAAAACATATTCTGCTCACATTAGAAAAATTAGAAATATTAAAAAGTAGAGAAAGCCCACAATCATTCATACTCCCACTTTATAGGTACTGCATGTAGAAAAAGATTGAGGCTTATAGTGCCTTGGATAGCAGAAAACATTAAGTATCTTTGCTGTTAACATTGTTTGTATCACCCATCCATTCATTTATTTACTTATTCCAAATTTAATTTTTTAAAAGAAAACTTTAAGATTCACAGACTGGCAGGTACAGAAATTTCCCATGTGCTTTCTGCCCTTTACATAAACATAGGCTGTCCCATCATAAACATCCCCACCATAGTGATGCACATGATATGGTTGATGTATGCGTATCATTGAGTCTATTGTTTACAAAGGGTTCACTCTGGATGTTGAACATTCTTTTTTTGTTTGCATGTTTGTGTTTGTGTGGGTGTTTTGTATTTGTGTGTGTATATGTATGTGCATGCATATAGGCATGTATGTACATGCATGTGGGAATGTCAGATGTCTTCTTGAATTGCTCTCTACCTTATATATTGAGGCAGGTCTCTCAATTGAACCCAGAGCTCACTGATTAGGCTAGCGTAGCTAGTCAGCTTGCACTGGGGATTCTGTATCTCTGCTTTCCACTACGCATGGGCCACTATGCCCATTCCAAATTTGCTTGAGTGTTGGGAATCCAAACTCCAGCCCTCATGCTTGTGTGGCAAACACTTTACCCACTGAGTACTCTCTCCAGCTTGGTGTTGGGCACTTTATGGGTTTGGACAAATGCATAATAACATGTATCCACTATCATAGCATCACACAGAGTCATTTCACTGCTCTAAAAGTCCTTTGTCACTAAGCGAATTAATAGTCTTGCAATCAGACATCTGCTTAACATTAAAAACACTCAGAATCCAATCTTCACACTTTTCTCACACGATACCTATTACTTTCCTAAGAACTGATGTTCCAGGACAAAAGAGATTCAGTTTAAGTAATGCTTTCAAGTCCCAAATGGTTTTCATCCATCTTCTGCTGAAGAGCTTTGGTTTTGAAGGGAGATATTCCTGACTTGGTCTACTAATCCACCCCCCCCCCAAAACAAATGGTACAGAGCCTGTTGTGTCACAGCAAGATGCTGTCAGAGGAAGGTGCCAGAAAAACCCCTCCTCCCAGGCCTCAGTCACCTTTGATCTTTCCACGTTCCCACACATCAAATACCTCTGAAGCCACATGTGTCACTTCTGCCTCTCCATCATCTGTAATAAAGGTGGTGGCAGGAGTGAGGAGCTCCTGATTCATCCAGCAATAGAGCCCTCATGGGAAGATAAGACCATTTAACCTGTTCCCCAAGCCTGATCCCAAAGGGATAGATGTGTCTGCATCTTAGTTTCCAGAAAAAAAGGTCACTTCAAAGATTCTCTTTATTCACCAATGCTGTGAAAGGGTTCTCCTCTTCAACTCAAATCCCTTTCTTGCTTTTCTGTTCTTAATGGCTAGAACTGAAAACTTTTTTTCTGTTGTTACTGGGGAAAAAAAAAAAAAAAAACAGGCAAAATCTATGGGGTGTGGGGACAGGAATTTCATAGAAAAATAAAAAGCATGTCCGGAGATTCTTGAAGGGCTTGCTGGTCCCCAGGACCCTCTCTGGCAGCACGGAGAGCCCACCTCATCTCCATGCTGACACCCCAGGCTTCTCTATCTGTCCATCTGTGCCTGGCGCCTCATCTTCACCACTCCTAATACCTACATCACACTATACGACGTGGGCAAAATGCTTGGCTGTTATTATACCCTGTGATCGGCTGGGTGGAGGCTGTGTCAGTTGCCCCCAGGGACCATCTGACCACCCCAAAAAGCTTCAAGAGGAGCCCAGGCTCAAGGGCACAACTAGAGACAGGTCCAAGCCCTGTCTTAGGCACAGTCTCTTTCAAAGGCATCCGGAATGTCCCGGGTGCGGAGGCCTGCTCTGAGCCCTGGGGGAGTAGGGAGAGAAGTTTATCCCGGGCTGAAGCCGAACCAGCCAGACAGTCTGTTCCACTTGGTGACCTCTCCCCCCGCCCCCACAGGCCAGACCTACTGGAATTTTCCACTGAAGATCTTGGTAGTGATGACCTGCATTAATTGGAGGGAAGCATACGAGATAAGGTGGTAAAATTATTATAATGCAGGACGTGAGCACAGAAAATGTAGGGTTCCGGGCCATTTTATAGGGGACTCGTGGCCAGTTCAAGTGGACGAGACAAAAATCTCGGCAAGTGAATAATCTCCTAAATGAAGGACCCAAGAGGACCCCAGGGGCCTAAAAGTGGTTTCCGACATACACATTAGCTGACTCCTTTCTGCCCTCCCAGGCCGGACTATTTAAGCGGCCAGCGGAGACTGGAGTGCAGCTGCGTCCGCTCCCCAGGCCCGCCCGCCGCCCACCGCCTGCAGCCCGCTGGTCGTCCACAGCCATGAGCCGTCAGTTGACCCTCTACCCCGGCGCCGAGCGCCTGGGTTTCAGCGGCTGCTCCGCGGTCATCTCCGGCCGGCTCAGCGGCAGCCACGCCTCGTTTCGGGCCGGGGTCAAAGGCGCTGCCTTCGGCAGCCGGAGTCTGTTCTGCGTGGGGGGCGGTCGGCGGCCGGCGCTGAGCTCTGCGGGGCGGAGTGGAGGCTTCGCGCTGGGCCACGGGGGCGCGGGCGGCGGGCGTCCCGGTGGCTTCGTGGGCACCGTTTTTGGCAGCGCGGGGCTGGGGCCCACGTGCCCGTCTGTGTGCCCGCCGGGCGGCATCCCCCAGGTCGTCGTCAACCAGAGCCTCCTGGCCCCACTCAATGTGGAGCTGGACCCGGAGATCCAGAAGGTGCGCGCCCAGGAGCGGGAGCAGATCAAGGCGCTGAACAACAAGTTCGCCAACTTCATTGATAAGGTGGGTCCTCTGGCCTCTGCGAGTCCTGCATTTGTGGTCCAGGGGCCACTATACTGGCTCTGCCACTAATGAGCTGGTGGAAACTAGGGTGAGCTTCCCCTTCCGCTTCTGTTTGCTGGGGCACAATAATGGATCTTACCCTAGTGAGTAGTCACAGGAACCGAGAGAAATGCTCAGAGCGCATAGGACAGTGCCTGACACATCCTCCCAATGAAAGGGAACCGCATCCTTCCTTGTGGGACAAGAGTCTGCAAAGGAAGAGAAGCCTGTGACAGGAGACCCGTGGAAAGGGTCCTTTGAGGGCCTATAGTGTTAGACAAGAAGATGGAGACCCACATCCAGGACAGGGGCACTAGAGGGACGCAGGCCAAGAATGCCACAGAACTTGGCAAATGTGGAAGGGAGTAAAAGGAGGGAAGGGGGTAGGTGTGTACCCAGATGTCCAGAGCCAGGGAGAGAAATGGGCCAGAAAACTGTAAGTCAGGCTGGGGGACAGGGGGAGGAACTTTGGAAGGAAGCCTTTTCAAGGTTCCTCCGTGGGTTGGGGGCAGTGTGTTCAGAAACGGTAACAGGGAAGGTGTCTCTGGAATGACACTAGTGAATGGGGAGGGGACAAGAAATGGGCTTCTCTTGTCTAGACCTAGGTAGCAGACCTTGACTGTGAAGATGCTAGGAAGGATGGAGACATTACTTCTCATACCTGCTGCTGCCCCAGTGACTCTTCCACCAGTTCACGACCTCTGGTTGTGTTATCATTCTGCCTTTGACGTGAAGGAACTAAGGCATAGATAAGAATGAGCCCAAGTTGACAGAACAGTTGACATCTCTTCCTCTGTCTCCTGTACCAAGTATACTTCTTTCTGTCCCTAAGCTCAGAACCTGAAATGGAGGGAACCCTGAAATGTGTGAGAATCCACTTTGAACAAAACCAAAAACCAACCAAGAGCACTGGAAGCTCCATGAGAAAAGGAGCACACAACCCTCCCCACCCCCACCTCCCACACCTGCCCAGAGTGCCCTTCCCTACTTCTCAATTCCCAGCTTCTCCAGTAAGAGAAGCTGCCCCAGTCACATGAAAACTCACAAGACAGAGGCAGATGACACCACTGCCTAAGTTTGGCGCTTGGATTTCTTTTAGAGTGTGCCTTACCTTGAAGATGCAGATACAGTGCCCCTGGCTGAGTCTACCCTCGGATGAGCCTTATTCCTGTGTGTCCCGCTGTTAAGAGGCAACAGCATGGGGACTGTGGGCCCTAACTACCTTTGGGTTCTAGGTGCGCTTCCTAGAGCAGCAGAACCAGGTGCTGGAGACCAAGTGGGAGCTGCTGCAGCAGCTGGACCAGAGCAACAGCAAGAGGAGCCTGGAACCCATTCATGAAAGCTATGTCAGCAGTCTGCAGAAGCAGCTGGAGATTCTGTCCGGGGACAGGGTGAGGTTGGACTCGGAGCTGAGGAACATGCGGGAAGTGGTGGAGGATTGCAAGAAGAGGTGAGTGGAAGGCAGACAAAGTGCCACTGGAGAGCGATGGCAGATGGATTCAGTGTCAAGCCAATGCTGTACTGTGCCTTTGATTCTTTTCCGAGACCATTGTTCCATAGGCAGAGACACTTAGAATGGGAGACAGGGAGACTATAGGTATACTCAGAGGTGTACTTTAGTTGTCCAGGATATTTCAGTTTCTAGAATTGGAATTGGAAGAATAGGAGCAAGGAGAATTAACCAAAAACCAGTTGGTTGGCCCAAATGGCTTTGTAGTTCCCCCCGAGTGACTTTTTCTATGGTGATTCCCAGAAAGTGAGACACCATACAAATCCTGGAACAAATTTCAAAACTAAGCAAAAATGAATATTTTTTTTGAGACCGTGTCTTCTTGTAGCCCCAACTGTCCTGGAACTCGCTATATAAATAAACCAGGCTGGCCTCGAACTCACAGAGATCCACCTGCCTCTGCCTCCCAAGTGCTAGGATTAAAGGCATGTGTCACCACACTCAGCCACAAAAAAGAATTTTAAAATTTGCTTTGTATTGAAATGTATCTGCACTATAAAATCCTGGCTTTGAAGAGAATATTGAGAATGTCTTTGAAATTAGATTGAGAGTAAGGTGTCTAGCCTCGGTATTTGGAAAATTTGCTTCTAAGTGCCAGCTCTCTAGGGATAGGACTTCTTTCTCAATTCCAGGGGTGGAGATGGTCACAGATGAGTTATTTCTCTTGCTCCACAGTCAATCTTTCTGATCACTCCTAGCCTGAAGTCCCCTCCAAGGAGAAGCCCAGCCTGAACTCTGTAGAGACCATCCAATGGAGCAGGTGATAGCCTTGACCACAGAGAGATTGTGAGCACAGGCTTAAAGAAAGACTTTTAAGACAGTTGCAATGAGTACAGTGCAAACTGATGCCAGTGGAATTAAGATGGGGCTGGAGCTCAGGTGATCTGAGCAAGGTCTGCAGAAGAGGGTCTCCAGGCACAGTTCAGAGGCCCAGGGCAGAGGTATGTGGGGCTGTACTGTTTCTAGGCTTCCGAGAGAGTAAAAGCCTGAATTACTACTGTGACTCTAGCCATTGGGTGACTCAAGTATGCCTTGCTCACACTTGGAGCCTCAGTCTTGTGAAGGATGGCGACACCGATCAGTGACAGAATCTTGGACCCTGGGACTTGGATCTTTTCAACAAGCTGTTTATTACAAAATTCAGATGGTTTTTATACATCCCAAGAAACTGGCAGTCACGTGGGCGATGGCAGTCACACACAAAGATTTAGGGCACAAAGAAACAGGACATATAGTCTGTTAGTTGGCGCCAGAAGGATGCTTAAACTTTTACTCAAGGTTATCAATGCCCATCTGGTAATTTATTGGCCACAGTGTTTTCTTTCTTAGACTTAAAAGCATGGTGAACTTCTAGCTTTTAGCTCGGGAGTAAACCTTTAACCTGGCCTAATCTCTTAGCCAGGGATAGCTGAGTTATTTGTTCAGGACAAGGAGATGAGCTAAGGGTTGTTGACCAAGATGCTTTCCCACACGGTAAGGAGTCTGCAGTTATGACCAGGCCGCTTCCTCCTGCCAGTCTCGCAGTGTTCTGCAGGACAGGGATTATCAGAGCCACTGTTCCCAGCACCCCTCCCTTTAGCAGAGAATGCAGCCTGGACTTAAAAGTTTTAGGCTCATCTCACCCTAGGGCCTGGCATCCTGGTTTCCTACACATAGCTGAGCCTTTTGATCCACTGTGAACTGCAGTGCCATTATAGTATCTATAAAATCAAATGCTGATAGCTGCCTCAGTACTTAAAAGAGCTGCTGAGAGGAAAATGGTGGACAGCAGTGTACTGTAGATCTTAAAAGAATCAAAGCACAGTACAGCAGCATGTGCTGCCTGTCCAGCGTCTGGAGTGCTGAATGTGAATCTCCCCTTCACTATTAACTAGCTGTGTGACCATGGTCAAGTTTACTAATGTCTTTTGTCTCATCTGTAAAATCAGGACAACAGAATGTATCTCACAGGATAACAGAATGGATTTTATTAGAACTTTTGTGGGAATTAATTGACATAATGAAATGTTTAGCATGCTGTTGGGTATGTAGCAAGGAGAAAAAGAAATATTACTTGTATTTATTATGATTATTTAAAAATTATTTTTATCACCAGCCCCTCCCATCTATGGATCTTCTTGTTTTGGGGGGGAGAGTGTCTGTGTGCATCTCTTATGACATCTCATGAGCACATGTTTTAATTTTTATTGAGAGGAGGTAGAAATGATTAAATATTTGTCAAGTAATATAAGATAAAGACTACTATAGGAATAAATATTTCATTAGATAATGTGATCTGAAAGCTTTTAATTACCTTCTGAGTTACACACAAAATGAATTGTTTTCTCTGTGTTTATCTAGTATCGTTAGAAGAATGTGGCAGTCTCAGAAAACATTCCAGGCATATTTACTTTTTATTTATTTGTTTATTTATTTAGCAGTACTGGGTGTGAACCTAGTGCCTCACTCACGCTAGGCAAGTGCTCTCTCACTGAGCTACAGCCCCAAGCCCCAGTCACATTTTATTTACTTACTGTTTTTTGTAAAACCTTTTATTTTATACAATGTATTTTGATCATATTTAGATCCCCTCCCTTGTCTGCACTCCCTTACTACCCTTCACCCAATTCCATGTACTCTATTATATACACGTATGTAAAGGCCTATAGAGCCCAAATGCCCTTAGGTGTGGTTCATCCCAAAGATCCATCCCTAGAACCTGGTTAAGCTACTAAGAGTCTGGTCCTTAAACGAGACTCACTCTCCCGCTTCCAGCAGCCCTTGGTTGTCAACAGTTGTTCAGGAAGGTTGGAGCTTCTTACCCATTTCCCTGTGTTTATGCGGGGTTTTGTCTGACTTGAGCTTACCTGGGTCTTGTGTGTGCTGTCACCACTGTTGTGAGGAGTTCATCTGTTGCAAAAAGAGCCTTGTTTAATTAGTGTTGAGAGGTACACTTCTGTAAATATAAGGGAATGTGTTCAGAATATAGTAAGAAATTACATTGGTGTAGGGATGTGACAAAAGTAGGATTTTCTCAAGGGTCTGTGCTATGTTTACAGTAGCACATGAGTTCCTTACCATTGAGAGGGCCATTAGTCCAAGTAGACAGCTGTGGATTACCTTCAAGGTAAAAGTGCCACTACTGCACCAATGTAGAGTGTTTGCTGGTCTGATCATTGTTGTAGTTTGTAGACTTTATAGCTGGATGGGATCGTTGATTGGTTTTCTCCTTTGGCAGTTTGCATAGTATCCGCTGATACTGTGAGAGCTAGTTTTCAGGGAGGAGGCTTCCAGATCGATTGCTTCAAGTCCTATGTCCAAAGTGTGTCCTGTCTGAGCAATAGGGTCTTACCTTCAAGATCTGGGAGGCAGCCATGGCTGTGGCAATATCTTGTGTCATTTTCGGAGTCTCTTGAACTTCCCTCACAAACAACCTGAAGCCATCTGATTTTTGCTCTTGCCAGGCGTGGTGGTGCACGCCTTTAATCCCAGTACTCGGGAGGCAGAGGCAAGCGGATCTCTGTGAGTTTGTGAGTTCAAGGCCAGCCTGGTCTACTTAGTGAGTTCCAGGACAGCTGGGGCTACAGAGAGACCCTGTCTCAAAAAGACCACAAAAAAAAGTAAAAAGTAAAAATGTGAAATAGAAGACTCATCAAAATCATTATTTTTTTAATTCTTTAAAATCTCTTTTTTAGGACCCGCAGGCCTCTCTCTCTGGGATAAGTTGATCGCACCGTCTGTGCCTTGACTCCCCCAGCCTCATTCAACCTCCTATCTCCCCCGCAGGTCTCTCCTCCTAGCCTGAGTCCTGTCCCATTCCTTGTCTTGGCACCCCAGACACCTGGGGAATAAAATAAAGATAATAAATAAAATATTTTTTTAAAAAGAGGGAATCCATTCCTGATATTGCACTTTTACTTTGCCAGCCTATGTTGTCTGGTAGGGTTAATGTCCCCCGTTATAAGGTAACTCCTTTTAATCTTTTAAAACAGTGTATATGTATATACTTTAAGAATCCTCTGTAGTGGTTGGCTTCCATAGGACTTCTTCTAAAGGCCTTTTATTGTTACTTATCCCTCATGCCTGCTGGGCAAGCATTCTATCACTGAGCTTTATTTTGTTTTGAGACAAGGTCTCACTATGCAGCCCTGGCTGACCTGGAACTTACTGTGTAGATAGACCAGGCAGGCCTTGAAGTCATAGAGATCTGCTTGCTTCTGCCTTCTAACTGCTGGGATTAAAGGCATGTATCTCCACGCCCAGCCTCAGTCACATTTTAAATAACACACTTTACTAACTCATATTGCTTCTGCTTCATCCATTCAAGAGTATGTTCTAGGTGAAGGGACTGCTAGTAGCATGTCTTAGGGCTGTGTGACGAGCTGGAATGTATTGCTTATATTTTAGTATATGAGGGGGAAATTATTTTCAAGCATTAGTTTCCCCTATTTCTTATTGTGATGAAATACATGTAATATAAAATGTAACTATTTCAAGTGTACAGTCCAGTGGTGGTAAAAACACTTGTAACATGCAGTCATCACCATCAGCCTTCTCTACAACTTTTCATCTTGTCAAATTGAAACTCTTACCCATTAAACAGTCACTCTCCCTTTACCCCCTCTTCCAAGTCCCTGGCAACCACCATTATACTTTCTGTCTTTATAATTTTATCTAACTTAAGAACCTCTTATGGAGGAATAATATATATTTGACTATTTTTGACTGGTGTATTTAACTTGGGTAGTGTCCTCTGGGTTCGTCCAAAATGACATTCATCATGCCATTTTGCAGACTCTCTTAAGACTGAACACTTCTTCATGTCTATGTAGAGTACACTTTACTTCTCCATTTAGCATGAAGTGTTTCTTATCAATGTTAAATTTTTATTTTCATAAATGTCCTGTAAATTAATAGTAAGGAATGGAAGAAGTAAGCTCTTTAAATAAAAAATCAATAATCCTTCCTCTCCAATCTACAATATATCCAGTCTACAATATGTCCATCTGAAAAACATGCTGGTCCCATCCAAACACAATTAATTAATTAATTAATTGATTGATTGATTAATTATTGTGTTTGAGTGTTTTGCTCGCATGTATGTAAGCACACCTGTGTGTGCAATGCCTGTACAGGCCAGAAAAGAGTGTTGGATCCCTAGGAACTGGAGTTACAGATGGTTGTTAGTCACCATGTAGGTGCTGGGAACCAAACCTGGATCCTCTGCAAGAGGATCTTAACCACCAAGCCACCTCTCCTGCTCCCAAATACTGTTTCAAAGACCTTGCTTCACCTGAAATAGAAGCATGCATAAGACACATATAGTTTAAGATATATATAAAAAAAACTCTTTCAGCCTGTGCTTTCCCACATCTTCCTGGGGAAGTCTGTTTGCCCAGGGCGTAAACAACTTACCCCCACAGCTGTGATGCAGAGGTGATCACTCCGTGAGAGTCTGCAGAATGGAACTGTGCCATTGGCAAGTGGTGCTTTCTCTTAACAGGTACGAGGTGGAGATTAACAGACGCACTGCTGCTGAGAATGAGTTCGTGGTGCTGAAGAAGGTAAGAGCGGGGTGTTGGAGCAGGAAGAAGCTTAGAGGGTTCCCAACATCTGCCACAGTGATGTGCACAGGACAAGGGAAGGGACCTTCTGGGCCACTCGATTTCTTGGGCAGATGCATTCCTCATCTTCTTCCTCTAAAGTTCCTTGCCTGGGATACATGCTGCTCCCAGAACCATCCAGCTTAGTATGCAGCTCAGATCCCAGCATTGTGCTGCATTTCTGGTGTGGCCACTGAGCTTACGTGGGCCAGTTTATGCTCAGAGACTGGGCCTTTCTTGAAGCATGAGGCAAGGGGAATGGAGAGAGTTAAGGAGCCTCCTCTGCTTGCTGTGACAAGGAGGGCAGGGTGGGCAGGGCGGGGAAAGCAGCCAGCCCTTCTGGACAGCCTGACCATCACATGTGCCCCAGGATGTGGATGCTGCTTACATGAATAAGGTTGAGCTCCAGGCCAAGGTGGACTCCTTGACAGATGACATCAAATTCTTCAAGGTTCTCTATGAAGGGGTAAGGACTTCACTGGCCTCTCTTATATAGCTGATTTTAAAGGTTGGGAGGGAGAAGCCTTTTGACCTGGTGTAGCTGACATTGACTGAGATCCTACTGGGTGCCGAACAAGGAGTCAGGCTTTGAAACCATGACGGAAAGCAAGTGGTCCCTGTCCTCCAGGCCTGGCAGGGTAAACAGCATGTGGAGGAGCTTTGGGGGAGTAGAGGAAGGTGTAGAAACCCTGCCTGGGCCTTCAGAGAAGGTCTCTGGAGAGAGGAAGCCAGGGAAGGGAAAGGGAGGGGTGACTCCCCATGAGACCTCTGAGTTCCATCTGGAGTTTGGGAAATGATTCTGGGCAAAGGATGTCATTGCTGAACTTGTGGAAGAGACTAGAAGGGCAGGAGGGACCTGAGTGCAGGTAGGGAGCGGAGTGCCACCACTTAGGGCTGAAGCTCAAGGCAGCCATTTTCATTCCTGGCAGCCCCAGTGGCTAAGGCAGAGTTCAAATGCTGAGGAAGGGTGGGAAGGGGCAGTGAGGATTTGCCCAGGAATGGTCAGGAGAAGCGATGTCCTCATGGGGACCCCCTAACTGATTCCCTTTCCCCTTTGTCCCCAGGAAATTTCTCAGATGCAGTCACATATCAGCGACACATCCGTCATCCTGTCCATGGACAATAACCGGCAGCTGGACCTGGACAGCATCCTCAACGAGGTCCGAGCGCAGTATGAGGACATTGCTGTGAGAAGCAAGGCTGAGACTGAGAACGTGTACCAGTGCAAGGTGAGCTGGGTGCCAGGTACGCAGAGGCCCAGCTACCACGGCTGTTGTGCTGTTATGCATGTGTGCATGTGTGCCTGTGCATGTACGCAGCTCTAGTGAACACGCCTTTTGTTTTGGCGTTGGGCCTCATAGAAATGCCTACCTGTGGTCCAGGGAAATCAATCTCAGTCTTAACATACATTACAATAAAGATTTAGGCCTTCCCTTACCATGGCCTCTGAGTGACAGATGAGATGTATCAGCCACAACCTTCATAAGACTCTGACAAAGTCTCTGTTTGAAATCCACACATCTCAGCTTTTCTTGTTTCTAATTTGGCAAAATGAGGACAGAAAATTCAAGCTACAGCCAGCTCTCTTGTTTGAGAACCAAGGATCCTGCTGACCTGGGGCGGGGTCTTTCCCTCCGGGAGAAAGGGTTGCTGCTCTTTCCTGCCACTCTTGCCTCCCCCCCCCGCCCTTTGCTGGCTCTTACACTGCTTCAATGAGAGAACATGTGATCAGTACTCCGCCCTGTGCTGCTGCTGAGCCCTCCTAAGTGGGTGAATCCTTAACTACCCTGTACTCCTCTCATCTGACCTCAGATCCAGGAGCTTCAGGCCACAGCAGGCCAGCATGGAGATGACCTCAAGCTCACCAAGGCCGAGATCACAGAGATCAACAGGCTGATCCAGAGGATCCACTCAGAGATAGGGAATGTGAAGAAACAGGTGGGTTGACGCAGTGAATCGGGGAATGGGCTTTAACCAGGCACCAGACTGCACATGACAGTCTTCATCAGGTAGGGGTGGACCAGGCTGCATGTGGAAAGGTTGAACGTTCTACTCAGCACAGCACATCGTGGCCCCTGAGGCTCCCAGCCAAGGGGCTTTCTTCTTATCCTTATCTCTTACGACAAAGAAGCAGCTAATTGCTTGACAAAGCGAGTCTCTTGGCATTTGGGGTCCCCACAGTTTATGCAATGTTTGGAATGATGCTCTAATCTCGTATCCCTATAACTCATGATATTCACAAGACCCAAGCTTCTGGCATCCCCAGTTCACCCTGAGATTTTTTGGTCAGTAAAAAAACAGCAGAGGACAGTGCAATTGGATTTGGGTGACAGTTGGTTGTCATCTTCTTGCATGACTAGGCCTCCTCAGTTCTGAGGGTGAGCCATGGTTTTCCACGGTCAGGCAACTTGGTTGTAGAGGTCTCCTTCAGGACACTCACCTAAAGGCTGTGGATATTGGCAGATCTGGGGGCTGCCTAGCAGAGGAATAGTTGACAGCTGGAGAACTTCTAGAAATCCATTGGCTGTCGGAATCAGTGGTTGCTTTCTTCACTGTGAGGCAAACTTCCACAGGAAGGGGTACCTCAAAAGCTGGAACTTAGATCCCTCCAAAGCCTTAACTGAGTGACAAAATACGTCCAAACTAAAAGAATCGAGAAGCACCGGAGTTCCCTCCCACCACCCCACCTGTACTGTCCCCCATCAGGTTGCATGATCCTACCTTTCTGTAGTTATTTGTCACCTGTAAAGCCTGCTAGTCATGAAGAAGCATCTTTGAAGCCTGTTCTGGACTTTTAGTATGAGTCTCTGTGGGATTTGAGGGGCCAGATTCAGAGTTTTTTTTTACTTTATCAGCCTCTCTTTCTCCCACTCCTACCCCTCACAATTTATAGGCGCTCCTGAGACAGGCTATGCAGTAAAGAACTGTTGAAGTCTAGTTATAGTGAGTCTTCTTCAAGGTTGTGTTTAGAGTCTGATACTTGATGCTTCAGATAATGTGGGGCAAGGTCAGAGGCACATACCCGTGTAACCCATCTTCTCTGTGCCCTTCCACTCTTTTCTCTCAAGACTTCTATTTTTAGATGCTGAGGCATGAGTGGGAAGGGACAGTGCCTGGAGTCAGGTAAAGGATAGACTCATCTCTAGTGATGTCCAAAGTTGGACCAACCAGTAGGATCCCAAAGTATTTGCTACCAGTCAGAATCAGGAGAGGGGGCTGTCCAAGCAGGATCTCAGACTTCAAAGTACCAAATCTTTTGCCCCTCAGTGCTCCAGCCTAGAGACAGCTATTGCGGATGCTGAGCAGCAAGGTGACTGTGCCCTCAAGGATGCCCGGACCAAGCTGGACCAGCTGGAGGGTGCCCTGCAGCAAGCCAAAGAGGAGCTGGCCCGCATGCTGCGTGAGCATCAGGAGCTGATGAACGTCAAGCTGGCACTGGACGTGGAGATCGCAACGTACCGCAAACTTCTGGAGAGTGAGGAGAGCAGGTGAGGGGCTTTTATCTGGAAAGTTTTCTCTGTGCTTTAATAGGCAGACCAAAGGCAGTTCAGTTCTGCTCAGGCCCCATGGAAGTACAATCTTACAGCAATGTGCTGGCCTTGGGTTAGGGTAGGCACAAATGAAACGGCAAGAAGGACCGAGTTGTAAAAATCCTTAAGGGACTGTGCCACCGTGTTTGAGGAGTATCCCCAAGCTCTTCATGGTGAGGGAGAGGGGCAGGATGGCCTCCGAGAGCCATCCATGTTCAAAACCACTCTAGCAAAGCCTTGGGTTCAGCGAGGATGTGTGCTCATTTGTCTTACTTTGAGCCTTGACAGGATGGGTCAGACTTCTGTGTAACAGGTACTCACAGAGCCTTAGTGTAGACTGGCTCCCTGCAGCAGCGTTCTCTTCAGAAGTTCCATGGGAATGGGAAGGAAGGGGGCAAAGAGGGGGCTGGGATTTGTTCTGAAAGGAGAGACATTCCCAGACGCGACTCTCTAGGTAGGCTGGGTGATTGTTTATGGTGGACTTAACCTGTTTATTCTCTCTCTGTAGAATGTCTGGTGAATGTCCAAATTCTGTGAGCATCTGTAAGTACCTGTACATCTTGATCTGTCCTTGGTTACCTCATCAGAAGCCCAAGTAGCTCTAATTCTATGACACAAAAGAGAAATTGGAATCACAATGAAGCTGGGGATGAGATGGGGGTTAGGGATAGAAAGAGAGATCTGGCTTTAGTAACCAAAAGAAGCAATTAGTGGAGAATAATAATATCATGAAATACAAAAGAGCAACTTATAGAAAGATCCAGATACCCAGCAGTGCGTACTCCAACAGTGCTGCACATCATGCTTGATGAATACATTCTCCCTGTGGAGGTTGGACCACAATAAAGGCCTTGGATCAGAGGAAGAGGGACTGAAGAACTCCAACGCTGCTGAGAAAGCCGCGGAAACAACTTTCTCCAGACCTTAAATTCCAGAGAGAATGCTGGAGACGTGCTGTATGTGGGGGACAGGGATATTCCCAGCAGCCCCTTCTGCATCAGCAGCATGGATACCTCTGTGAAGTGCCTGTCTTCATTTGGTTCTAACCATTAGGACAGTCCCTGAGAGCCCTGTTTGCTAGGAGCTTAAAGTCTTATACTGATAGGTAGACCCAGGACTCATGCAACACGTTGAGTGTTTGGGGCTAACAGACAAAATGAAGCCACATACGATTTGTATTCACAAAAATTTCTTAGTAAACTAAAAGAAAGAGCTAGCTAAGGGAGTGCCCAGGTGCCCACAGAGGGCTCTGACCAGGGTGTAAGCTGACCGGGGCTGGGGTCTTCTGTCTCCTCTTTCAGCTGTCATTAGCAGTACCAATGCGGGACCAGGAGGTGCTGGCTTCAATGTGGGCTTTGGTGCCTTGAGCGGTTACAACTACAGACCTCTGGCCCTGGAGGTCAAGACCAAAGGCGCCTGTGGCAGCGAACTCAAGGACCCCCTTGCCAAAGTCTCTGGCAGCAGCTGTGCAACCAAAAAGGCCTCCAGATGACAGCCAGGCAGTGGGCTGTGAGCAAAACGCTTGTGGACCCCATTCTCCACCTGCTCTCTTCCTTCAGGGACCCTTTCCAAGTGGGGAAATATTTTCTCTAGCACCACAATCCCAACCCCATCTCCTATCCATGTTTTCCTCAGTCAAGGGACTCCTCTGGGGCAGGAAGGCCAGTCATGGGCTCTGTCCGTGACCTCTGTCCCCTTCGCTTTTCACTAGGTAACCGCCCCATATGCAGAGATGGAGCACGGCCCCCGCAATGTCTCCCTGCAGCCAGCCACAAGCCCCTCAGCTCTGTGCGTTTTTGGAGGCTTCACTGCTAAGGGGCTCTCTGATGGGGTTCTGTCCAGCTCTCTGCTTCTTCTGCAATAAATGATTCATGCCATTCATCCTAGTCCGTTTTATATTGCCATAGCAAATATTTTAGATCGGATGTTATGGTCTGAATATGAAATGTTCCATTATTCTGAGGGCTGCAGAGCCTTTAGAAGATGGGGTCTGGTTGGTAGAAGTAGATCACTAGAGATGGGCCGTTGAAGGTTATAACCATCCCCAGCACTAGCCTGCTCCTGGTCAGCCACCATCGGAGGAGCTCTGCCACATGCTGTTACTGCCATGAGCTCTGCCAAGTCTTTCCCACCATGACAGACTGAGGCCCTCTGAGCCCATAAGCCCAAATAAGCTTTTCTCCCTTAAATTGTTTGTCAATTGTTTTGGTCACAGCAACACAAAAGTAACTGACATACCAGGAACTTTAGAACGAACAAAGCTTCTTTTGACTCATGGTTCTGGAGATCTAACAGCACAGGCCCCTCCCCCATCTGTTCATCTACTGGCAAGGGACTTGTGCTGTGTCACATCATGGCGGAGAAACAGAAAGGGAAAATAGGCATGTGTGGCTGTGGCAAGAATGTGTGTTCAAGAAAAAAAAAAGGGAAATGTCAGGCTCACTTAATAACGGCTAGTTCTTGAGAGAACTAGTGTAGTTGCTAGAGAAAGACATAGAACCCATCCCCCAGTGTTTCCACATTGGGAGTCAGTTTCAGCGTGAGTTTGCTGAAACATGTCCAAACCCAAACCATTTGGTTTTCAGTGCACAATGTGTTGCACAAATGTCAACCTTGGCATTACCCTAACTTTTTTTGGTGTGACTCTATTTCCACTCTGGGTCACCAGCCATACACCTTTGCCATCTGGTTCCAGCCAAATAGGCATCAGGTGACAGCTGATCATGGTAAATAGCTGAGGTTTGTTACAGCTGTGGCTGCAGGGCAGGCCCAGTGCTTCACATGACCTGTGTCACCCCTTTCTGCCAGCTGCCCAGTGAGACGGGTGATGCCTCCTCCACCATGGAGAGGCGTGCCGGCACTGCCAGAGGTGGGAGCTTCAGCACGGCTAGTCACTCGGGCTCTCTAAGGCCCCAAAGTCTCCCACACTCACAGCCCTGAGTTGTCACGATGGTTCTTCCTTCTTCCTCATTGCCTCACTCTGCTGCCACCCAGGCCTCAGTCCTTCTCCCCCACAGTGACCCCTCTTCTAGCCAGGTTCTCTTGTACCCACAAACAGGAAGTCTGTGCCTATAGGAGCTTCTGGATATATCTGTGCCTATCATATGTACAAAACAGTGGCTCACACAACAAGTATTGAGGAAGCCATTGTCTAGGCACTGGGGCTTCCAGAACAAACAGCATAGGCAGAGACCTTGTGGTATTCACAGTCTGCTGGGAATTGTGAAAAACAGCAGCTAACAATGCAATGTGTAACACGGTGTCGAGCAGTGGTAACGGCTATGAAGACAAATGAAGTGTCATAGGAAGCTGAGACTCGGGTGCTTTCAGTAGGTATGGACACTGCAAGAATGCTTGTTTTTCCGTCAGTCAGCACAGCTGATTTGGGCACAGTCCTATAGGGCAAGCTCACCTTTCAAGAATGAGCCTTGTTCAAGGGTGGCATTCAGGCTGCCCATGACTTGCCTCCTCCTATATCCCTCCTTCCCTCAACCCTTCAGCTTTTCCCTAAGCAAACCAGTTTTTCATGTTCAAGACTCATTGTCCATTTATTGGAAGTTGTTTTGGTCATGGCAACACAAAAGTAACTGACACACCAGGTAATTTATAAAGAACAAGGATCTTTTGTGGCCAGGCTGAAATGCCACTTCCTGTGCTCCTGTGGTGCCCAGTCCCTCCAGTGGAACCCATCAAACCATCTAGCATGAAATGAGAGGGAGTGTTCTATCTGCCAGGCCAACAACCCTTCCCATTCCTGAGATGAGTAAGCTGAGGCTTAGAGGGCTGAGTGATCTATTCACAGCACTGGGAGCAGCAGGGTCTAGGAGGGTGGCTACATTCCTGTGGCGCTTCTCTAAACCCGTGACAGTGGCGTCTAAGTCTGTCCCCTCCCACACCTCATGTCCTCCTGTTCTAGGATCCTCAAGTTGGCTCAGCTAGGCACACAATTGGTGTTGGAATGCATGAGTGTAGCTGTCTTCACTGGGAAGAGTTCAAAGCACACAGAAGCCTCAGTGACTTGGCATGCAAATGACAAAACACATCCAGGTTAATACATTTGTGTTTCTCACTAATTCATGTGTGTGTAGTTTATAGAATTTTTACCCAAACTGGAGCCCTTTTGTCCTGGAAAGAGTCTACACTGATCCTTGGGAAGAAGCCAAAGAAAAGGCTGTCAGGCAACTTGTGTCTTTGGATCTCCCATTCTGGCTTTGAATTTTGGTTCTTTCAAATGTCAGTTGTGGTCCGGTGCAAGATCGTGGTTTTGATGGCTGCTTTCTACATGCCAACAACTCTTCTTGGCCCTGTTGGAACATTTTCTACCTGGCAGCTTAGTTAACTCTCCTGATAACCAATGCATATTGTTAATAAAGAAGGCACTACTGTCACACCATCCATTTTGCTTGGGGAATATCGGGTCTCAGAGGGGGTAAATAGTTCACCAAGGGTTACACAGCGAGGAGTGGGCAGAGATGGGGGTTGAAGCCCAGGGAGATTCCGGAGTGTATCCTCCCAGTTCTGACACATCAATACTCATCACTGAACTCACCGTGGAGGACTCCTGAGACTAGGAGGCAGATCATGGAAGTGAAATAACTTCTTGAAGACAGTCTGCACACATTCACTACTGATACAATTGCAATTGTGCATTGTGTTACGAGGAAACACTAGGACATAAGTTTTGCTAGGTGATTTCATCACTTTACGAACATCATAGAGTGTGTTTATACAAACCTAGGGATGCTATAGGCTTAACTGCTTGATGTGGCCAGACTGTTCTGCAAAAGAGATGTGATAAACACAAGATTTCTAGGTTGCTGCTGGGATACCACGGAATGCTCCTCTTCAGTAGATAAGTAGGAGGAGCACACAATCCACCATTGCCACGGATATGTAAGTACTGCCCCGTGCTTTGATGACTGGGACATAATAAGATGACAGACGTTTTCAGCTTTGTTACCACTCCGTGAGACCCGGTGGTGTAGACTGCGCATTGCTGACCCAAACATGCGGTTATCGCCATATGATTTGGTCCATTGGTTGGCTGGTTGGTTAATTTGTTTTGAAACAGAGTCTCACTAAGTAGCACTGGCTATCTTGGAACTCTCTATGTGGCCCAGGCTGGCCTTGAACTTGCAATGATCCTCCTGTCTCTGCCTCCTGAGGGATGGGATAACAGGCGTACACCACCACATCCTTAGCTTGAATTCATTAGCTTGAATTTGTGGGAGCCCTTTGTGTTTGTGGGCTATGTTGTGGTTTCTATCCAAGGGTCGGACAGCAGCAGGGCCCAGCAGACCTGGGCTGTGGGCTGTGGGCTCTGGGCCATTGGATCTTTCTGTCCACTGAAGTGCATTCCCAACTAGCAGGGACAAACACTTTTGGTGCCTCTATTCTGTGCACACACTGCCCTCTGCCAGCAGCTCTAAGTTCTGCACCACTGTGGCCCTGGGAAGAGACTCCTCAGCAAAGCTGGGATCCTGGACTAGCTGCATACATCCACAGAGGGGCCACCTGGAGGAGGAGCTATTTGACTCTCTGGCATGCCTAGGCTGGCCCCAGCCTTGGTTTTTGTTAGGGCCCTGGCTCCTGTTTCCCCTCTCTCTCTTCCCTGACCTGTCTTCTCACTGAGGGAGGAGGGGACAGGGCAGCAGTTACAGCCTCCTGAACCGCCTTGCCTTTAGAAACTAGCTCTGTGCCTTCAGACAGCTTTTCATCAACAGGTGCCTGAGAATCTTAGTGCTGTGAAAGAGGTCTTGGGAGTGTGAGAACCCTGCCTCTCAGCAATACCCTCTCTCCCAAGCCCTACAGGCACCATGTGTCAGCCCCAGCCCTGACTGCAAAGACACTTCTTGGAGAAGTATTTCTGCCTCACAAATCAGATAAGCCAAGGATAGAAGTACTGGCAAGGTACAGGCAAGGGGCTGCAAAAGAAAAGAGGTGTCTGAGCCGCACACAGTCTAGGTAGACTTCCTAGAGGAGGAGCCAGAGGATATGAATTATTGGAGATAAGAAGCTTTGAAAAACCAGTTTCTTAAGTCTGCTGCTGTGGGCTTTGAGCTGTCCTCGGTTTCCCTTCTAGGACTCTATCACTTCAACTACTTGCTGGGTGACAACTACTTGGAGGGCAATAATTTTGCACTGTCTTTCTGTCCTTATAATCATATTTTCAACTATTTCCAGGACCACCACTGTGCTGAGGGTCCTCACTACCTCTTCCTGCCTCTGTGTTGATTCGGACCCTTCTTAGGAGGCCTGTGGCCCAAACCTTTCTTCCTGCTTCCTATCCATCTATCCCCGGAAGGCTTGGGATAGTCTTTTTAGATCTAGATCTCGGAGATTCTAGGTCCTTCTAGCTGAAATTGCAGGCGAAACACCGAGTTCCAGATGAAAGCTGTTCCCAGCTCAGGAGCGGAGTATGGTGTGGTAGGCCCCAGGCTGGAAGGGCCAATAGCAGTCATGTAGGTGGAAGGACACATCATGGCCAGCTAGCTGTGGATCTGTGCCCTTGCATTTCTCTTGCTATTTATAACTGACCTGGGCAATTTGGTTTTCCTGCTTTTTTACTCCTTCATTTTTATAGTGTGTGTGTGTGTGTGTGTGTGTGTAATAAAAAGATTGGTATGAAGATGAAATGAGTTAAAACGTGCAATTGGTGACTAGTGACTATCAAGTCCAGTGACTAGTCCTGTCAATCCCTGGATGAATAGAGGCTCCAGTTACACTGAGTGCACCTTCTAGACTAACTTCATTCCAGGCCTTGCCCCATCCCACCACATTCTCCTTGGGTCCCCCGAAAGTTCTTTCCTATGGCTGGTGGCTCCTCAGAGCCCTGACCTTGGCTCCCTATCATGAGGTGTGGCCCCACCC